CAATAATAGCAACGACAACGCTTTACATAAATAATGTAAGCCTACCCTAGCAGGTAGGCACTGTTGTTGTCCCCAGTTTACAGAGGGGGACGCTGCGTCTCAGAGGTCTGGGCATCACCACGATCATGAGGGGAACCAGGACTGAACCCACATCGGCCTGGTCCCAGAGGCCAGGCCGTTAGCCTCAATTCGGAGCTCTCCTGCCTCCAGCCTGCTTAGAGGATGACCTTCCAGGTGGAGGAACGGAGAGTGGAGGCTGGAGGGGCGGATGGAGACTAGACGGAGCTGAGAAGGACTCTTAGGAGAGAGCTGAGGTCCGGGCAGCCAGACGCACCCAAGGACCTGGCCAGGCGGGCGGCCTCGTGGAGGAGAAGGGCAGCAGCTGTGGAGGTGGACAGACACTGATTCCAACCTCGGCTCCACCGCAGGATGCTGTTTGACCTTGGCAATGTTACATAACCTCTCTGAGCCTCAGCATCCTGAACCGCAAAGTGGGATTCCTGCCCTGCCCATCAGGCGAGAATTAAAAGAGAGAACAGGTGGAGTGTCCCCCAGCCCTGGGCCGAGGGGCAGAGCAAGGAGACTCCAAGAGGATTTTGTTCACAGAGCTCATTCTTAGAAAGCGCGTTGGGTCTAATTTTAATCACGTACAGCCAAGAGGCCCTGAGACAGAGAAATGGTTTCTTGCTGCAAAGAGGGCACTGGGTTCACCCTTGATTTACTCTTCTCTGGGGACAGGGTTCTTAGGGGGCATCAGAGGATAGTGGGGGGGCACCGGTCATGAAAGCAGAGAGCTGACGTCCTGGGAGCTTCCTCTGGCCACCTCAGCAGGGGACTTGGAGGCATCATCTGTGGGACTCCACAAGCCTTGCAGCATCATAACGACAACAGCCAGAACTTGCCATGTGCCCGGCGCTGTGCTGCGCCCTTGACAGACAGCACCTCTGTTCCCCTGCAGAGCAGGCCTGGGAAGCCACTACTCTTTTCAATCCCATTTTACAGGCCAGAAAACTGAGCCTCCGAAAGCTTAAGTTACCTGCTCGAGGCCACGACGGCAAAATGTGGCCACACCAATAGCCCCCGTCCTACGTGTTCTAGAACCTTGTTGCTCCCCCACCCAGGGGTGGAGTCTAGATTCTCTGGCCCTCGAAGGTGTGACACTCTTATAACCAACAGAACATGGCTGCGTGACAACGAGGCCAGCTCAGAAACGATGACGCAGCTTCCAGGTTGCTCTCTGGAAACCTGTGTTTGGAACCCAGAAGCTGCCACGGCCACGAGGAAGCCTGGAGAAGCCCATGCAGAGAAACCCGAGACCACACGAGGACAGGGAGACGCCCGGCCAGTGCCAGCACCAGCTACCATCTGACAGCAACCACACGAGCCACCTCAGCCAGAACCGCCCAGCTGAGCCCTTCCACACGACAGACCCACAGAAGCCGCCGGAGAGAATAAAATGATTGTTGTTTAAGCTGCGGAGTTTGGGGCTGAATTGCTACACAGCCCGGTAACCAGACCAGCCACAGAGCTAGCGAGTGTTGGGACCCTCACTTCAATTTAAGCCCAGGTCTGAGTCCGTCCTGGCTGCTCTGACCACTACCCTGCACTGTCCTTGGCCTCCAGGACCTTCTGCTAAGTTGTGGGGAGAGCACTGGACTGAGAGTCCAGAACTGGATCCTGGTTCATTCATGAGCACAGAAGTTTCGTCGTGGGCCCTTAGGAAAGGAGCTTCATCTCACAGAGGCCCAGGGTCTTCACCCAGCTACGGGGCCTGTTGACCCCCACCCATTAAGGGGCCAGCTTAAATGCCAATGAAGACAACCAACAGCAAAAACACTCTGCAGAGGAGACAGCTACAGCTTGCTGACCTCCTCCCTTGTGCCAGGTGTTACACGTCCATTATCTGACTATTAAACGGCCGTAGGAGAGAGGGGGGAGTTATTACCATTTTACAGACACGGACGCTGAGGTCCGGGAGGTGATATCCGTTCCCCACATTAAATCACACAGCCAGCAGGTGGGGGAGCCAGCATTCCAAGCCAGCTCTGCCCAACTCGAGGCCTCAGCTTTTCCCTCCTCCCTCCCTCTCTCCTTATCAAGCGAGCTCCAGAGAGCATCCATTTGCTGTCCTTTGAAACACGCGGGCGCAAGTGAATTGTTCCGTGGGCCACTTTTCGCCCAAGGAAAGAAACACGAGGCAGGATGAATGATTGCCTGATGGCTCCCGGGGGATGGCCCCAAGCCACGAGCCTGGGTTAGCAGCAAACCAGCTGTGATGTCAAATCACCGGGGGATTTCTGCCTGCCGTGTGGAGCCAGCCCCCTGGTGCCCCTGGAGATCCACTCTGGAGACACGATGCAGAGGGAGGGACGGACTCGGTCCCCAGGAGCCACCCGGCTTGTCGATGGGAGGTGGCCCGGGGTCGGAGCATTATTGTCATTGCAACCTTGGGGGAGCCCCCAGACAGCTCTGTGCGGCCCCTCCTCCATCCCACAGACGAGGCTCAGGCGAGTTCCGTAACATGGCTGATGTCACACACAGCTACTAAAAGGTCACGCTGAGATATGAACCCAGGACCGGCTGACTTCAAAACACCCATGTCCTTTCCCTGCCACATCCTGAGGGGAGGCGTCCCCTCTGACTTTGAGGCTGCCCAGGGCACCGCTGGTGACAGGGTGACCCAGGGCCCCTGCAGGGAGCCAGCCTCCTGGGGTGAAGGCCACCACATCACAGGGGCCGAAGGGACTGAGAAGCGTGTGGGGAAGGTCATGGCGTCAGAGACCCTCAGGGACTCAGGGGTCAACGGGGCCTGGCGGGACTTCAGGGGGAACAGGGTATGAACCCCCAACGGAGGAGGCTCAGAGGGGCCCCAAGGAGGCACACTGGGGCCACATGTGATGTCAGTGCTGAAGGCTCCCTGGGGAGAGCTGAACTGAGCAGGAGCCACGTGTGTGCTTGGACCACATGGAGACCGGAGGGCCTGGGCCCCCATCGGCCTGGGACCACCCTGCACATGCTCAGGGGCCTTTTATGGGACAAAGAAGGGCTGGGAAAAGCACGAAAAAAGGGAAGCAAGTTTTCAGAAGAGAAGGAGGAAGTAACATTTCCACAGTGGGAGGAAGAGGACGACACTGCAAAGGAAACGTCCCTTCCGGGTCCCCGGCCTCCACCCAGCCCTCCACACGTCCGCTGCCTTGTGCCCCTTCCGGTTGACCCGAAACCCAGGGATCAAGGCTCTATGTCCCAGAGGCAGCTGGTGGAGGAACAGGGCTCGGCCTGCGATGAATACATTTTTGGTCTTTGTCCCAGTTCCCGGCACACAGCTCCTCAAGCCCTTGGAGACTCCGAGGTGACAAGAGGGGCTTCTGTGTGCCGTTGGGTTGACTGGCGTCTGGGGACCTAGACAGCTGCAGGAGGGGGGCTGGCCGCCAGAAAGACCAAGGCATGATTCCAAGCTTGGAACTCTCAGCCCCGCCCCGACCCCCGGAGGGAGAGGGGTTGGGGACTGAGCTGAGCACCCATGGCCAAGGATCGAGTCAGCCGTGCCCGTGGAATGAAGCCTTCACAAATCCCTAAGTGCCGGAGTCTGGGGAGCTTCTGGACTGGTGGACACGGAGAAGGGCCGGGGGGACGGCCTGCCAGAGAGGACGCGGCCTCCCCACACACCTCGCCCTGTGGATCTTTTCCATTTGGCTGTTCCTGAGTCGTATCTTTTATAATAACCAGTGAGAGCTAGCTAAGTGCCTTCCTGCAGTCTGTGAGCTGTTCCAGGAAATTATCGAACCTAAGGAAGGGGGTGTGGGGACCCCAACTCAATAGCCAGTCCGTCAGAAGCCTAGGTGGCCCAGACACCTGATTGGGGTCTGAGGTCAGGCAGTTTTGGGGGACCGTCCCAGAGCCTGGGGCTCTGTGCTAACTCCAGGTAGTGTCAGAACGGGACTGAATCGTAGGACCCCCTGTGGGTGTCTGGAGAATCAGAGAATCGGTGGGTGTGGGGAAAAAAAACCCCACATTTGGTGTCAGGAGTGTGAGTAAACACGGTTCGGGGGGTCCCAGGGAAAGAGTGACATCAGCAGCCCTCTTGGAGCCTGTGGGACAGAAGCAGCAGCCATGGAGCTGAGGAGGCGGCAGGTGTGGCCCCAGAGTTTGGGCTCAGAGCTCGGTGGACCTGAGTCCAAATCCCACCTGTGGCTTTAGCTGTGTGCCCTGGGAGATATGGGTCAACCTCTCTGGGAAGCTGCAGCCTCATTATCTGTATAATGGGCATCCTAACAGTTCTCACCCTCCCCAGGCTGTTCAAGGGCTGTACAGTGACGTCCTCGTGGCTGTAAGCTCTCAGCACGGCACCCGGGAAAACAAGCCAATTCTCCAGCAGAGAAGGACCCTAACAGCCCAGTGCAAAGTCTAGGGCAATAGAGCCATCTTTGCAGGGAGCCCAGCCAAGGTTCCGAAGCTCACTCTGAAACATATGAGCTGTGTGATGTCAGGCCAATCACATACCCTCTCTGAGCCTCCATTTTCTAATCTATCAAGTGGAGATGGATGAAAGCCAACACTTAGGAAGCACCCGATCATGGGCCAAGTCCTGTGTGCCACACGTTTTGGCATGGATGCATTTAACCCTTACAACAAGCCTACGCAGTGGGTACCATCATGAGCCCCGTGGTATAGAGGAGGAAACTGAGGCTCAGAGAAGCCAAGCCAGGATCCACACCCAGCAGCTGACTCCTGATTCTTGCCCACGAGGCGCTCTTCTTCCTCACCAGGTTACTGCAGAAATCTAATAAGACCCAAAGGCAGAAGTGAGGTCCTGGGGCTTTGAAACCACCAAACAATAAACCGACATTAGCGGGGGTGGTTGTTTTCGCTATCAGAGCTCAGAAACCCCGAGTCCAGTTATAAGGCCCCAAATCTCCCCACTCGGGGTGATGTCGGTTTTGAAAATCAGAATCAGGGCTTTCAAATAAGCTAAGGAAGCCAGGCGCACCGGGGGAGGGAATTATTTTAATGAAAAAAAAAAAAGCTGATTAATGGAAATGATTCTTAATATATTTCAAAATGATCTGTTATGACACAAAGCAAAGACATTTATATACGACTCTGAAATTCTTAACCGCTGATTTTAGAGCTGCCTATTATGAAATCTTCCGAACCACTATATACAGTTAGTAAATCATTGGGCAGGCCTCCCAGGCAGACTGACAGTGGCTCCTCTTAAAATAATTTATAAGGTGGGGTGGGGGAGGCTGGGAGAAATTATTGCCATAATCATGTATTAATAAAATATTTATAAATGTGACTTTCTCTTTTAGCATCACAGGCGGCCACAGGTACGGGTCAGGTTCCTGAGCCCACATCAGAGGGGGCGCCCCACGTGCCCCACGAGGAGGAACGCGGGGCGGGAAGCACACTGCTCTGGGGACAGGTCAATAGGCCAGGGGGCTTCGCTGGCCTCTGTCTTGTCATATCAAAGGCAGCGAGGGTTCACTTGTGACCATGGAAATCAGAAGGCAGCCCGCAGCCATCTGCAAGGCTCCTCTCTCCCTAGGCTTTGCAGATCCCCAGGAGGGAGCAACCTGTCTGAGTGGAGTGTGACAGAGAGGCAAGTGGCTGTGTCTCCTTGGGAGAGTCCCTTCTTCCGGGCTCAACACCACCGTCATGGAGCCACCTCCTCCAGGAGGACCGCCTTGAGCTAGATGCTCTTGGTGACCCGTCCACCCTGCGTCGCCCTGGCCACCTGACACGTGCCACCCCATACGTGTCCCTGGCCTGTCACTGTGGGTACCTGTCTGTTCCTCTCTGCTTTCTCTGGTTGCAGGAGCGTGCTTAGCCCACGCACGGGGCAGGCTCAGGGTGCAGGAGGTAACGCCCTCCACCCAGGAGCCCCCGTCAAGCAGGGGGAAGCAGGAGGCGGTGTATAAACACCCCGGCTTCCTCTCCTCCTGGGTAACTCAACCAGGAGGCATGTCCCTCAGGCTCCCTGAGGTCTGCAGGGGGACTGAGCCCCAAACACCCAGAGGTAACCCGCTCATCAACATATCCTGTCACCTCCCTCCCCTCCCTGCCTCACTTCCCCACCAGCGCCTCCTGGGGTCCCTTTGGGTGCAAATAATCTAAATGCACCCAAATCTTTGTCTTCGGGGAAACCCAGCCTAATTCAGCTGCGTTTTCTTGATCCCGTTTTTCCTCCCATCAACCCCATCCTCAGTGCATTGAAAGAGGAGGCCACGGAAGCCCAGAGAAGTTTGGGTTTGAACCCTGGCTTAATGCACCTAGACCTCCTGAGACTCAGTTTCCCATTCTGTAAAATGGGTTTGCTTCCTTCCTCACACCCCCAGTTGGAAGGCGTCCACACCCCGACTCTGAACCTCCACAGCTTTCCCGGCCCGCACCGAGCGATCGCACCCCAAACTCGGCCCGTTTACAAAATCGGCTGACGGAGTCAAGTTCAGAAGTTTCCTCTCTCCAAATAAAATGGCAAACTCACAAGAAAGGACTCCGTCTTCACAGCCTCTCCGATCCCTCCCTCAGCCAGGTCTGGGCACAAAGTCAGTGCCGGCTCATCTCAGGGACTGGGGTGTGTTACGGCTGAATTATGCCCCACCCCAAACTCCTACATTGAAGTACCGGCCCCGGGTCCCTCACACGGTGACTGTATTTGTTGACTGAGCCTTTAAAGGGGTAATTAAGGTGAAATGAGGTCATATGCGTGGACCCCAATCCCGTGTAACTGGTGTTCTTATAAGAAGAGGAAATCAGGCCAGACGACACACAAATGGAGGGTGATCATGGGAAGACACAGCAGGAAGGTGGCCGTCTGCAAGCCGAGGAGAGAGGCCTCAGGAGAAACCCACCCTGCGACACCTTGATCCTGGCTTCCAGCCTCCAGAGCTGTCAGAAAACAGATTCCTGTTGTTTAAGCCCCCAGTTTGTGGTCCTTCGTTATAACAGCCTTAGGAAACTAACAAAGCCCTGAAACCCACACTTGGATGGGTGGCCGGGTACACGGACCCCAGATTAAGAACCTCTAATCTGGCCCAATTCCAGAATTTCGCATCCGAGAAAACTGAGACCAGAGAGACAGGTGACTTGCTCAAGGTCACACAGCAAGTTGGGGGCAGGGCCAGATTCCTGACATCCTCTCTCTAGTTTGGCTGGAGCCGAGGAGGATGGAGAAATTTCTTCAGATCACAACCGAACAGTTAATTCAGAGGCACAGGGACCCCCGAGGGCTGAGACCTTCCAGGGGGATGGTGTGGAATAGGGTCGGCCAACTTTCTCTGTGAGGAGCCATATCGTAATTATTTTCATCTTGGCAGGCTGTACAATCCGTGTCTCAGCTACTCCTCTCTGCCGTTGTAGCAGGAACGCAGCCGTAGACGCGTAAATGAACGAGCGTGGCTGTGTTCCAAGCAAACTTGAATTATGGACACTATAATTTGAACGCCAGATAATTTTCATAAGTCCCAAAATATTATTCATATATATGCATATTTTCATCTAGTTGAAATGGAAAAACTATTCTTAGTTTGCGGGCTGCACAAAAGCAGGCAGCAGGCTGGATGGGGCCCACAAGCCCCAATTTGCTGACTCCTGGTGTAGACGAAGCCAGACGCAGAGCTGGGGGTTTCTAACTGGCGACTAGAGTTTTGCAGGAAGAGAAACGCCCCCCAGGCTGGTGAGAGGACCGCGTTCTCACACCCTGGTGTTCATGACCCTGGTGGTCCCAGTGACCAGGAAGCTGAGCGAGAGATGTTACATCCCGTGAACAAAACAGTGGTGACATCCCGACACCCAAGGGTCTGAGCAGGACCCGTGGCTGAGTTTCAGAAAAGCAAGTGGCACCTGTTTTTTGCACATTTGTGTAGTCAGGCATGTCTGTCCTTGGCTGGTACCAACTGTGGAACACCTATTTTACTCACGTCCGACTCAGCAAAACTTCTAGAAATTTCCGAAATCAAATCAGCGGCCAATGCATGTGGCTGGAACGGATGAGACTCAAAACAATGGGCCACACGGCCCACGACTGTGGGAATGGCAGGAATGATGTGCCAGCATATTCCAGAAGCGTCTGCTGCTCCACAGGGGAATGGGCAGAGTCAATACATCATTCCAGAGGACAGACCTCAATTCACACATGTTCATTCGACAAGTGAGTTCCAACTCCAGAACTCTATGTTCTGGGCCCAAAGGAAGCCACTCCCTCCTGGAAAGAGCTAGACAAGGACTCAATCACAATACAAGGCCCCATAAGCCCCATCAAGGCAGGAACCACATTACTCCTGATCCCTGCTGTCCCCTCAGGACCTTTTACTGTGCCAGAAGAGAGGGCAGAAGAGGCTGGTTAGGGAGGTGAGGAGCCTTGAATGCCAAGCCAAGAAATTATTTAGCAGGCAAGGGAGAGCCCCGGGAAGATTCTAAGCAGGGGAGTGGCACTAGGTGTATGTTTTAGAAAGGAGCCCGGTGGTCACACTGAGGATAGACATAAGGAGAAGTGAAGGCAGCTGCAAAGAGGCTACTGCAACAGTCCAAGCAAAAAAAAAAAAAAAAAAGACAAAGAGTAAGAATAGAGAAGCCAGGACAGAAATGCTGTCCCAGGGAGTGTCTACAGGGCAAGGGGAATGATTAGATAGGGAGGGGTGAGGGCCCGAGGGGTGATCAGCACCACCGGAGAAACAGACAAATAAGGAGAGAGAGCAGACCTGGGAGGAGGAGGATAATGGGTCAGCTCCAGCACCTGTGGTGGGGAGCATCTCCAAGATGTCCAGACAGAGACAGCCCCTTTGTTGCTTGGACCCAACCTCTCTCACATGTTTCAGGGCTTCTCTGCTCAGTACAGTAGCCAACAGCTACACACGGCTAATTAAATTTATGCTAATTAAAAAGTAACACAATTAAAAATTCAATTCCTCAGTCACACTAGCTGCATGTCAAATGCCCAACAGCCACATGCGGCTGGTGGCTACTGCACTGGACAGTGGATACCGAGAGCGTCTCCATCATCGTGGAAAGTTCTGTTGGGCGGCGCCAGTCTACAAGATTTGCTAGAAACATCCAGCCCTGCTTCTTCTCACCATGCCTGGTTCAGCAGCCGCCCCGAGAGACGCCCCCGAGACACGGAAGGTGGCAGGTTGGCCCTGTCCCACCTCACTGAGAGAAGGGTCTTGTGGGGCACCTGCCAACGGAGAAAGCTGGCAGCCCAGGTGAGCTCGGCAGGAAGGACGTTACCTTTGCAGGCCCCCGCGGCGCCCAGGTGGTAGATGGCCGCCAACACCCGCCAAACGGCTCGCTGCTCGCTCTCCGAGATGCCCAGCGTCCCCATGGCGCCCTGGAGCTGGGCAAAGGCAGCCGCTGCCTTCTGCTTGTCTTCAGGCTGAGAGCAAAGGGAGAGAGGAGGAGAGAGAGGCCATCAGGGTGGAGAGAATGCAAACTCACCCCGCGAAGCAGGGCTCCGTCTCTGGGGAACGTGTGGTTGCTTTGTTAGCACAGTAAATTACCCACAATTAAGCTGAGGAGTGCTGACACCCAGAACTCAGGCTGCTGGGAGAGTGATGAAAACCATTTCTATCTGACGTGGGAAGGTGGTGTGATTTTTCCTCATTCATGAGTTCACCCGGTGGGTTTACTGTGGCTCTGCACCCTGCTGGGCTCCAGGAACACAAAGATGGGTGGAACCCAGAACGTGACACTGAGGGCCTCTCAAGGCAGACATGGAAAGAGGCATGAGAGTAACCAAACACGAGACAGGCAGAGTGGTAGGCTACGGGTATAAGTGGGCACTACTGGATGTCAGGCGCGGGAACGGCCTAACCAACCTCACCCGAGAGAGTCAAACAGCTATCACAGACGACGAGACAAAACTGTGATTGAAGGATACACAGGCAAAGCCGACTGATTTAGTGTAATAAAGGTCCTGACAAAGGGCGCAACACAAACAAAGGAGATCTTTGGAGACACCAGGTGGCCAACTGGATGTGGACACAGAAGGAGGTATTTCTGGAGGTGGGGTGGACAGAGAAGGAGAGGAGATAGAGCACAAGAAGCTGGCAGGGGCCAACCGTGAAGGCCTCCAAGATGATCTTAAAGGGCATGGGCTCTGAGCTCCAGCCATGATTGGCAAATAGGTGCCCCTGTCTACATTCCTGGACCCATGGCAGACATCACTAATCTATCAAGATCCCACCACCTGTCAGTGAGTCCAGATTCTAATCAGTGGCAGACATCATTAATCAATCAAAATCCCATAGCATGCCAGTGAGTCCAGAGTCTAACCCATCACAGACATCATTAATTGATCAAGATCCCACAGCACACCAGTGAGTCCAGATTCCAACCTGTGGCAGACATCATTAATCGATCAACATCCCACACCGTGAGTCCAGAGTCCAACCCGTGGCAGACATCATAATCGATCAAGAGCCCACAGCACACCAGCAAGTCCAGATTCTTTTCAGGACATCATCAGCTGCAGCTGCCACCAATTGATCTGCCTCAGCAACCGAAATGGAACCTGTCTGCCACCCCCGGAGTCAGCCATGGGAAACTGCCAAAGATTTTTAAGCAGGAGAAAAGAGAAAATGACATGATCAGATGTTTATGGGTTGTAGGGTGTTGTTTTTTTCTTTTCCAGATTTATGATCCCAATTATGTTTGATTGAATATTAAAATTAGTCTGAAACTCTTGCACACACACCATCTGGCCAAGTACTCTCAGCCCAGAAGCCTGCTGGGTTGAAAGGAAGCGAGCCGGGGACAAGAATTCTTTTGTCTACAATCCACCAGCAGATAATGAGGAACTGATTTGCAGTTGGCCTGCCTACAGAGCTTGAGTGATGAACTAGAGGCTACTAACGCTGGCAAGTCCTTGAATGTTGTGGAGTCCAAGGCCCAGAGAGGGACGACACTTGCCCAAGGTCACACAGCAAATTAATATCAGATACAGGACCAGAATCAAGTTCTCTGACTCCCCGTCTAGGCCATTTGTGTCTCCATTCAAGCCACTTCTTCTAACTGGGAAAGAAACCTGCAAGGATCATCCAGCAATTGGGATGCCATCAAAGCGTGCAGTGACATTGAGAGATTCGCTGTGGAAATATTTCGACTAATAGCAAAAGCATGTTCCACGGATCCATCATATTTCTGGGCCACCACAGGACCACAGAATCCCTAGCAACCAGGAGCTCAACCTAGCAACCGCAGCTGCTGCGCTGGAGCCGGGGAGGAGAGGCAGGCGTCTCACCAACACGCGCTTGGTTATTTATGAGATTTCAAAGGAGCAGAGAAAGGACACGAAAAGGACAGTGGCAACACATTTATTACGGCTCCCACTGTCAGCCACGAGCATTTGACTTTAAATTACAGGCGTGCTCCATCATCTGCCACTTAGCTCACGTGAAGGGAAGAACCAGAAACTTCTGCTGGAGCATATTTGCTTCTTTTTCTCTCCCTCCCTCCGCCAAGTCTCTGTTGCAATGGAAGACACGGAGGAACAAATATATACGTTTGTGATCCAAGACAATTAGCAGCAGGAAATGGTCGCAGTTCCGTAAGCTTCTAGAGAGCCAAAGACCTCTGCATAGTGCCCTGATAAAAGCCACTCCTTGCACCAATATCACAAAAATAGAAATCAGTCAAGTTAGTGGAATAAGTCAATTCATAGCCCAAATGTTTATCAACAGAAGACCGGGTAAACGATGGGTGGTCTAGCCAGGGCACAGTGGTGGAGTACTACGCAGCGAGGAAAAGGAACACGTCACCCCCTACGTGCAATCACGTATATGAATCCCACAGACCCCACGTGAGTCAGAGAAGCCGGGCACCCGAGACGACATCCTGTGGTTCCATGTCTGTGAAGGTCAAGTGCAGGCCAAACTCACGTGTGATAGAAATTAGGGTGACGACTCCAGGGTGGGAGGGAAATCCTTCATGGGGAGGAGCCTTGAGGGAGCCTTTGTGGGAATGAGGAATGTTCTAGATCTTGACCTGGGCCGTGTGCAGGTGTGTTTAAGAATATAATGATCACTGAGTTGTACACGTCACATTAGTGCCCTTTATATGCTTTACTGTATGGCTCACTTCATTTTAAGGAAAAATTGGTGAAAAAAAGTCAACGCACAAGATGCCCAGGGTTTGTCTGCTGCAATCAGAGGCTCAAGATCAAGCGAAGGCTGCTGGCAATTGAGGGGAAAAACGACATCCAAAATGTTCTTTCACAGTAAACCGGCCTGCGTTTAGCAAGCCCAGGAGAGTCCCACGCGGCACAGAGGCCAGGTTTGTGTTCGGACACAGACAGAACCGGACGTTCTCAGTGTGACTTTACACAGATCTCTTGCCCTTGCACGAGGCTCCGTTTCTGCTTCTGTAGGAGGGAAATGACAGCCCATCCTCCTCCTCGGGCCGTTGCGAGGATTAAATGAGTTCATGTGTTTGCTTCAAAGAAGCCGGCACAGTTCCGGGTACACAGTGGTGGTCAAGGAAATGCTGGTCTCCACTCACCACTGCATCCCACGCGCCTCGCCTTTGCTCAGGCTGTTCCGCCTTCCGGAGACACTTTTCCCAATTCCTGCCCAAGTCCCTGCCCAGCCCTCCATGGAAAGTGCATCAGGCACGGTCCTCTCCTCGAGGGGCTCCCAGTCCAACAAGGGGGACAGAGGTGCAAATGGATACAGCACAGTGCGTGCTGGGGGTGGGGAGACTGGCAGGGGTCGGAGGCTTCCTGGAAGAAGCGATATAGGAAACAAACTGAATGAGTGAGACCAACTGGGTGCTGGGGAGGCAGGAAGGGTCCCCGAGCAGAAGGGCACAGAGCTGGGGGGACAGGGTGCGTTGTGGGCCGAGAATCTTGTCTTGCAGAGCGAAGGGTCCTGGAGCCGTGGTTTGCAGCTGGGAGCAGCTCTCCGATGGAACGCGTGGCCGAGGGACCCGGCACCTGGGCGTCCTCTCCCCAGGTTATATGCACCACGGGGGCCTCAGGCAGCCTGGTGGGGATGGAACCAGCCCCTCCTCCAGGGCCGGGGTGGGCTCCCCTGTGTCTCTACCGCCACCCAGCCCGGGGCACGCCCCTCCCTCCGCGCCTGGACCTGCAGCCTGGCTCTGGGAGGAAAATGAGAACACTGACTCTATTCATTTGGGAAACAACATGGGTGCCGGCATGGGGAGGGCAGACCTCATGGAGACGGTGGGGAGGGCAGGGCAGGTGTGGGGCCAGAGCCCGGGGGCCCTGTTCCCAAGCGGCTCTGCCCCACGCTCAACGTGGACTGATCCACGTCCTCTCCTGGCACCAGAGTCCACTCGAGGCGGAAGAAGAGGATGCGTTAATTGAGCACCTACTGTGTTGCACAGGCGCTTTAACCCTGTAAGGCAGGGGTAGGTGTCTCCAACTGACAGAGGAGGAAACTGAGGCTCAGAGAGGGTTAGGCACCTGTCTGAGGCTGCCCAGCTGGGGAGGGGCAGAGTCACAATATGCCAGGTATTCTAAGGGGCCCCCAATCCTAAGAGCAGACCCAGGAGTTGGGGCTGCTCTACCCACTCCACAGGTGGAAAAACTGAGGCCAAGAGAGGACACGCGGCCCAAGGGCACACAGTGGGTCAGATCCCAGGGCACACGATCTTCAGCCACAACACAGGACTGAGATGACACAGGGGGACGGACACGAGTGTCAGGCTCGGAATCAGGCCGACCCGGGTTCCATTCCTCCCTCTGCCACTTCAAAGCTCTGTGCCCTTGTGCAAATTACTCCACCTCTCTGAGCCTGCTCACTCCACCTGAGAAACAGACACGAAAATAACCCTTTGCCTCAAAGGGCTGTTAGGAGGATGAAATAAGACAAAGCTCCCGGCAGAGCCCCGGACAGCAGTGCCTGGTCCTCAGCCTGTCATCAGAGCCCCTTCCTACGCAGTTGATGCCCGGTCATAAAAAATAAGTGTGCTCGGGGCCGGCCTGGTGGCGCAGCGGTTAAGTGTGCACGTTCTGCTTCTCGGCGACCTGGGGTTCGCCGGTTCGGATCCCGGATGTGGACATGGCACAGCTTGGCACACCATGCTGTGGTAGGCGTTCCACGCATAAAATAGAGGAGGATGGGCGCGGATGTTAGCGCAGGGCTAATCTTCCTCAAATAAATAACTAAATAAATAAATAAATAAATAAATAAATGTGCTCGCTCGGGCCCACGCCTGGAAGGTGACGGCGGGAAGCAGACTGCCGGGAGGCAAGGATTCCTGTTATTATTATGACCACTGCTGCTGGGCCCTTTTTTAAAACATCAGGCAAGCTTGCAGAAAAGTGAATTACAGAGAGGAAGAAAAGCATCTCAAAGCTTTGTGACTTTGTGTCCTGGCCACAGCTGACTCAGTGCCACGTGAAAGCTGAAACGT